AGCTTAAAAGAATTATGAAAATGAATCAAAATATTGAATTTTGTTGTTCGTCGCATTTTGTGTCACTTTACCTAAGTTGAGGGATTTGTCGACGCATTCAACATAACATAAATGTTTATGAACTCTTACATGGATAAAATTAGTCAACTTCTTAATACTAGTAACATCTACATGTTATTAAAATAGAGTAAAATCAACGATTTTCTCCTTCTTCAAAATTCTTGTGGGTTTTCTTTAGCAAAAAAAACTCAATGCATATTTAAAATAAAAAAGACTCATCCATTTCGTTTTACATTATAGTGATAAGATAATTCATTACCATATAATAATTACCTAGAAAAAAATGTAAAAAAGATTCAAAACTATTAATTTTGGAGTTTTCGTTTTTCTTGTGGCCTTGCTTAACTAGAGGGCAAAGTCAATGGAAATAGTTTCAATAAAAATAAAACTTTTTATTAACTTTTGCATGGATAAAAACAAATGAGTTAACTAGTAAACAATAATGAAATCAAGAAGTTATAAAAATGGTACTCTCTTCATCCTGAAATGATTGTCTAGTTCAAGATTTGACTTTTAATAGTTACTAAAAGTAATATCTTTAACTGGGTAATCATTTCGTGACATAGGGCGAATAAAAAAAATGATGTTCTCCTAGCATAAAAATCGTTGGTTTTGTTAACTGGACTAAAAAGTGAACTAAAAATGTTCAACTGTAAAAAAGAATCATTTTGTAAGTTTTAATATGACAAAAAGTACTTTAATTTATTACTTAACATAACAGCTTAAAAGTATTGTGAAAATGTTTCAAAAACTTGAATTTTGGTGTTTGTTGGCTTTCTCGTTGCTCTGTCTAAGTCGACGGATTGGTCGATGCAACACATTTCAACACAAAATAAATGTTTATCAACTTTACATGAATAAAAATAAATATTTATCTACCTAATACTAGTAACATCCTAATATTGTATTGTGAATTAAATAGTGTAAAATAATTGATTTTCTCCTAGGTCAAATTCTCGTTGATTTCCCTAAACACACAAAAAGTTGACGGAAAAATATTTTGAAATAAAAAAGACTCACTTTGTTAGTTCTAGATTGATAGTGATAATACTACGGGCATTCACAGCCTGATTGGTCCGATTTTTGGGCCAAACCATAAACCAAACCGATAGAATGGTTTTAAAAAATAAAAACTGAAACTAGACCACTAACATACTAAAAACCGAACCAATTCAGACCATATTGAATGTTTTGGATTGGACATTTTGAGGGTTTAGGCCTACATTGGGCCTTTATATTTTCCAGCCATTTAACCGAATTTTTTTTTAAAACTTTCATGTTGATACCGATAAATTGACTAATATTACAAAGCATTAAACTTCTTAAAAGACATTAGAAAACTCAATGGTTGAATTTTTCAATATATTTTTGGAGTGTATCAAGGTTTTGACCGAATATGGAAACATATAGCCAAGTAGAAAATAAAGTATTACTCACTCCATTTCAAAATATAAATTCTTTTAGGTTTGAAGTAATTTTTCAAAATTATCGATCGTTTTAGAATCTCAAAGCAAATTAATTACTAACTTTTTAATGTTTTACTCCATCTCAACCTCGTTATAATCCACCGTGGGGGAATCAAGAGCATTCTTTTGGGGTAACAACTTTTACACCAAAATGTCAAACGGAAGGTGATTTCAGGATGAAGTATCATGATTTCAGATAATTGGATACCGAATCACCCCAATCCAATAAACAATGACTCGATCGTGGCATTACACTTAAACTTTATGGTGAAGGATTTCATCCAGCCTGATGGTAAATGGAGAATCCCGTTTCTTATAACTATCTTCCCAGCCCCGATGATTTCACATATCACAAGCATCTTTATTGATCCATCAAGATCGTCTCAAAAGGATAAACTTCAATGGCTACACATGGCGCATGGAAATTATACAATTAATAATGGATATCATGTTGCACTCGACTTACACGACATCCAGCCTACACAAGATCCAACTCATCAAAATCTAGAGAAAATTGAGATAGAAAAGGCTATGGAATTCCAAGGTTCAGCCAAAGCACAAACTTCTACTTTGGAGAGCACTCTAGAATGCTTTATCAACTAGAACAAAACTTAATAAAAGGCTCCAAGTTGATATGGTATACCCTTGTTGTTGTAGACATGAAGAAGATAGCTTTCATCTCTTGATCGGTTGTGAAGTTTCTCAGGCCAAATGGAGTATTGGTTTATCTTTCTTTTAGATTGATCCTTAATTAATTGCACAAGTAGTTCCCTTTTTGAGTGGTTCCTCTAATTTATCTAGTCACACCTCGCAAGAGCTTATGTTGACCTATTTCTCATTATTATTTAAAGAATTAAGATGGAGCAAAATGACAAAATCTGGAGAAGTCGGACATATGATACAATTGTATCATGGAGGCTCATCCAGAATGAGATGGATCTCTATAAACACAGCCAACATAGACAAAGCACATCAGGAGCTCTGCTCCAGTAATCCACCACCAGCCAATGACTACTCAGCCACTAGGGAATACCGTGGATTCAATAGTCACATTTGATGGCTCTTGTCATTTGCACACTAGGAAGGCAACATGAGTTTGTAAGATCGTATCGCCTTTTGGCATGGTTATGCAAATTTGATCAATTGATATACAAGTCTTCTCCCCTTTTCCGACAGGCAATAACCTACTTGTCATCTCTTCAAGAGGCATTAAGTCTTAGAATAACTCAGATAAAAATTCACAGGGATTGTGAGATTTTAACTCGAGATCTGAGAGGGGAGCTGATCCCGGAAGCACAAGAAATAGTTTAATTACTAGTCATTGGATAGCTTAGTTTGAGTACTGAGAACTAATTAAGTTAGCAGATATGATGTTCATGAATTACACAATTTAGTATATACTAGAATGCAATGTAATAGTATATGTATCTTTATTCTATAAATTTTTAGGTATCGTTACAAAATAAAATAAAAAATGAAATCCAACTTTATCCTCAATAAATGGTGACAACTCCTCTTCATTTTTATTTATAATTTCAATGCATTTAACGAGAGATAGAAAGGATACTCTACACAAAAATTAATTGCTAAAAGGTTGTCTCTTTAGTTCATGTAAAAAATTTTAAGTGACTTATATTTTGAAATGGAAGGAATAAGTATTATAAGTAACCTTCACCTATAACGTGATATGTTAGTATACTACTCCCTCCATTCTTTTTTTATATAAGATCTTTTGGTTTAGTGACTTTTTTAAAATATATGTTGTTTTTATAAATCGAGGCACATTTGACCACTGCTTACCAATATTACCATTCCATTAGAAATGAAACAATATTTACTTTTTATAATGAATTTTTATTGGTTTATGATGACTTGTACGAACAATAAATAAATATATTTTTGTATTTTAATTACATTAGATAATATTTGGTTGGTTTTGTGTTAATATGGGCTATTGTATAATCACCGGGGCTGAGCTGTGGGGGTTAGCTTGGGACCTTGGTTTTCGTCAAGTACTACAGATGTAGATAGTAGCTCCGTGGTGAAGATGGTCTTGCACCCGTCCGATGTAGCTGGGATCAATAGGGGCTAGTTTGAGCTATTAAAAAAGCTCTTAGGAAGACAGTGGAACGTGAAGGTCAATTACAAATTTAAGGAAGCTAATTTTGTCACAGATTGCTTAGCCTTCGCTTGTGGCTTCAAGCCCTGAAGGTTACTATAGATTGGAAAATCCATTAAATGTTGTGAAAACCTTGATTAAGGCCATTGGCGGAATTATATAGAGGCTTGGAGGTACTTGAGCACCTCCAGCCACTGAAAAAGTCCCATTATACATGTTTCCAGCCATTCTCTATGTAGTCTTTAGTCTATTGCCAACACCTCCAGCAGAGGATGATTATTCTATGCATGAGCTTGGAAATGATGTTGGGAAGTGTTGTGATGTTGGTAAGAAGAAGTTGGTTAGCCGTGGCGGTAGAGATTGGTTTGGGGAAGGATTTTACTTTATGTAAATGTTTAAATGTGGGAGATAAAAAATGTTAGACTATGCTTGTGTGTTCTATTTGGACTAGATTATTATCATATTAAAAAGTTTTGAATCCATTTAAAATGGCGTGCACTTATTTTAAGTCTGAAGTCTGAATAGCTCGTTATTAATTAATTGGTGTTTAGTTTATTATCCCAAACCCAAAAACTCAACACTATAATTATAACTTTAAAAGTTCAAAAGTTATCGTCAAAAAAAAAAAAAAAATCAAAAGTTCACATATATGCTCTCATCTAATCTAACTTTTTTCCTGCTTAAAAAAATGTCCAATATTTATTCAAAAATGTTCTCACCGGAACATTTTTTAATTAACTTTGATTTGGCAAATAATGAAATCTCTCGTCAATGCTCTTCTATCTTTGGGATCGGCTACATTTTCCTCTATTCCCAAGTTTCAAAGCCTAGTTCCGCTCCTAATTAAGGCATGATGTAGTAGGTTATCTTATCTAAGAAATATTGTAATAATTAATTAAGTAATAGGTTTCGGGCTCCTCATTTATACCAAAGAAAAAAAAATGTTAGTCCCTCCATTCCAAAATAAGTGTCGTTTTAATAAAATGGAGAAATTTTAAAATAAGTGTCGTTTTTGGATTTCAATGCATTTTTTGTCAAAAATTTCCAAACATACCCTCAAAAGAAATAATATTATTGATAGCATTTATTTTAATAGGGTTGGTTGAGGATATTCTAGTAATTTAGTTACCTTATTTAATGTTTTCTTAAACTATGTGTAAATTTTAAAATGACATTTATTTTAGAACGGAGAGAGTATTTTCCTTGTATACTTACTCCAAACTCGAGACAGAGAATCAACAAAGACAGAGTAAGTCAACCCACACAAGAACCACTTGGCACAGTTCGATGACTTTAATAAACCTTAAACTCCGGTCTTTAAAGTTTAAACTGAAAGGAAAAGAAAGAATCATCAATCAACAAACAAAATTAGGAGGGAAAGGGAAAAACTCGGAAAACAGGAAACCGGGAAAACCCTCCAAAACCAAAATCCACCACTTTCCCAAATTTCTTGAATTTCAAGCACTTCCCCCGAAAACCCCAAAATCCTTAAAAACAAAAAACCAAAAATTTTGTTTTGGGTCCTCTTCTCCGCCTTCACCCAAATTCTCAAACCCAAAAAACGCTTTCAATTTTTTTGCCCCACAGCGCGCAAAACTCAATTTTTTTCGAAATCACATTTCAATGGCGGCATTCTTCCCACCCACATCTCCTACTTAGACCCTCCTTCTTTCCATTTCTTCCTCACTCCCATTTGTATCTTCCTCCTCTGTCCCACAGTCTCCAGCGAGAGAGAGAAGAGGAAGGGAAAAATAGTGAGTGTTTTTATTGATTTGTTTCATTGCGATGGCGGACAAAGAGAACTGTATGAGGGTTACTCGCTTGGCGAAGAAACGGGCTGCGGAGGCAATTTCTGCTTCTGTGAAGCAGCAAAGGCCTAACAAGAAAAGGGTTGTCTTGGGTGAGCTTAAGAGTTTGTCTTCTAATGTTCCCTCTGAGCCTAAGAAGGAGCAAAAATGTAGCAAGCCTACGAGGAAAGTGGTTTCCAAAGAGGCTGTCGAGGTTAAAGAGAAGATTGTTGAAGACCCTTTGATTGATATTGATGCCCAATCGGATGACCCGCAAATGTGCAAAGATTATGTTTCGGAGATTTATGGCTATCTTCACAGAATGGAGGTTGGTGGCCCATCAAATTAACTTGCTTTACTTTAGTTCATTTCGTCTGCATATTGCCTCTGTTACTTAGGGTTTTGATGATTGATGAACTGCTATCCATAATCTTCAAATCCCGTTTCGCATTTGTGAAATTGGTTGCATTTCCTGTCCAATTTTGGATTTCGTATAACGTAGTTGCATAGAGACTAGTCTGGATTTGGGATTTGAGTGTGGCGGTCATTTTGTTTGTTCAGTGATTTTAAGAAATTGTTTCCACGTTCTTGGCTAATAGATTAGGTCAATGAATAGTGGGTTCTCAATTAAACTCAATTATTGGGGTTGGGATTTCATTATGATTTCAATTAAGATTAGGGCTTGTCAATTAATGAAGTTGGGTTATGCTTCAGATGGAAGAACACAGAAGACCATTGCCTGATTATCTGGAGAAGGTTCAGAGGGATGTAACTGCTAACATGAGAGGGATCTTGGTAGATTGGTTGGTTGAAGTTGCAGAGGAATATAAGCTTCTATCAGATACCCTCTACCTAACTGTTTCCTACATTGATAGATTTTTATCCAAATACACTATCACAAGGCAAAAGCTTCAGCTTCTTGGTGTTTCTTCCATGCTCATTGCCTCGTAAGGATCTATTTTTGAACTGGATCTGTTTTCAAGATATTGTGTTACATTTCTCTTTGTCATTGTCTGTCTTCTTGTGGTACTTATGGATCTGTTTGGTTCTTGTTTTGTGTAGGAAGTATGAGGAGATTACTCCTCCCCATGTGGAAGATTTTTGCTACATCACTGATAATACATACACAAGACAAGATGTGGTGAAGATGGAGTTTGATATACTCAACTTCCTCAAGTATGAAATGGGAAATCCCACACCCAAAGTTTTTCTTAGGTAAGATCTTTGGTTCCTCCTTTGTATCATGTCAATGAAATGTTAAATGTCTCTTAGCGTGAATTTGCATTCAGTTGGCTGATGTTATTGCTTGTTGTGTTTCTACAGAAGGTTCACAAGGGTAGCCAGAGAAGACTACAATGTAAGCCTGCAATTCTTTATCACTTTTTTTTTTTTTTTGTTTATTTGCGCTCTGGTCTTTTAGATTTAGTAGCATCTTCTGGACCTAATTGTATGTTATTTGCTCTGCAGAATCCTGATTTGCGATTGGAGTTCTTGGGATACTACTTAGCTGAGTTAAGTTTACTGGAGTATGCCTGTGTGAAATTCCTGCCTTCTTTGATAGCTGCTGCTGTTGTGTTTCTCTCAAAGTTTACTCTCAATCCAGAAGTGATCCCTTGGGTAAGAAAGGGTATTTGTTTAGGTTCATACTTGTGTACTTTTAAGTCTGGAAGTACTTCCTTCTCGTTCCACGTTTCATATGAATGTTTTACTGATTACTCTTCATTGATGTTGATAGAATGCCGCATTACAACGTTATACTGGATACAAAGCAGCAGATTTGAAGGAGTGTGTCCTAATCTTACACGATTTGCAATTGAAAAGGAGGGGACAGGCATTGGTGGCTGTGAGAGAAAAGTACAACCAACATAAGGTACTTCACAAGATTTTTCTTATGCCCTTCTGCACATGTTTATTTGTTACAAAACCCTTACCAAAAACTATGTGATTGTGGTTACAGTTCAAATGTGTATCAACATTGCTTTCACCCCCACGGATACCAAATGCATATTTTGGTTAACAGAGTAGTTTGGCAGAAATGTGATGGTCTACCCTTTGAAGCCTTGAATGGACATTCGAGAGAATGTGGATAAGCTTTTGATAGAAGTTTGTACCTTGTTGCTGGATCAGCTACATTGATGCAGTTCAGAGGATGGATTTCTTAACTGATCTAATTAGCTTGGTTGCTACTCTATTTTTTCTTACAAAGACCTGAAATTTGTTCCAGTAGAGGAGTAGAATATTAACTTCATAGTTGATATGACATCTAGAAAGTTGTTTGTAAGTGGCTTGTAATCATGTTGCATTTTGCCTAGCTACTAGTAGTACACACAAGTGTGCTTGAACGCTTGTATCCCAAGATCCGAAATGTTAAAAATGGTATTTTAAATCATCTCTTACTAGTACAAATGAAATATATCAGATTTGAAACTTAAATCTGTTTTGCATCATAGACTGTCAATAGCCAATGTCATTGTGCAGAAACAACTAAACAACGATAGTATAATTTGAAAATATCAGGCAGTTGTTAAATCAAGTATAAATCACATTCTATGGTGATCTTCCTATTTGTAGCGTTGGCCATTACTGGTTTGTACCATCTCCTAGAGATGGTAAAGTAACACTGCAGGATCAAATCACATTTAGCAACTATTCTGCTGAAAGATGTGATTTGTCTTCCGGAAAATGGGTTTATGATGACAAATCTTACCCATTGTACACCGAGGAACACTGCTTTGCCTTCTTGCATAGTGACATGGCTTGTCAAACATTCGGCAGAAAGGACTACAAGTATCTGCACTGAGAAGTGGCAACCTCACAGCTGCGACCTCCCTAGGTCTGTAAATTTCTTTCTGTTCAAAATATGACTAGTATAACGTATATGTTCTTTGGTTAATCTCTTCAATTTTTATTTTTTTTTGAAGGTTCAATGCTACAGCGTTTCTGGAGAAGCTGAGGGGGAAAAGGCTTGTATTTCTTGGTGATTCCCTCAATAGGAATCAATGGTCATCCTTGGTCTGCTTGAATCATTTATTCCACCATCAAATCAATCAGCTATAATGGTTCATTTGCCACATTTGAAGCCTCTGTAAGACCAACTTAATCAGTTGATTTGTCATTCCTTTTTTTTTTTTTTTTTTTGAAATTTCAATTGCATTCAAAAGAAAACTGTTACAAAGTACAAAAAAGTCTCATTTTCGCTAGTTGTACAAATAACTAGCCTTAACTACTTGAAAGTGAACAAACCTCCTGCCCTTCTAATTCAGATGTGTGTGTTTGTCATTCTTTCTTCAAATTGTGGATTAGGTGGACTTTTAGGCTGGCTGTTAACATTAAGTTTAGTTGAACTGCTCCTTATCTTGCATCTTTTTGTCCTGGTATTCATGGACTAACTTTCATTTGTTTGATCAAAACAAAGGAATACAATGCCAGAATCGAGACTTATTGGGAACCAATGCTGGTGGAATCTATAAACCATCATGTTGGTGTTAGAAAACAGATTGCACGAATCACTTCAATTGAGAAACATGCTGTGCTCTGGATAGATGCAGACATACTAGTATTCAATTCCTTCTTGTGGTGGATCGAACCTGACATTACTCTTTTGTAAGTACACTTTTTAAGGAACAAACTACATTGTTTTCATTGGGACTCCAGAAGAATTATTTGAAAAGCGAATCGATGCCAATCTTGTTGATCTTCGCTCAGGTGGGGAACATTTAACAGCTCCAAAGGATTCTACAAAAAGGTAGACCCCAACATGCGGCGGCGTCCTTATGAGATGGCTTTACGAACTTTGTCAGATTGGCTTGAACTAAATGTCAACAGAACAAAGACAAAGCTTTACTTCATGAGTCCATCACCTGTTCATCTTAAGTATGATGAACCATCCTGATCCTATCCTTTCTCATCACTTAAATAACCTTAACCATGAATCTCCATAGCATGATGTAATTTTGTTAAATTACCTTCAAATTGCAGAAATCTCGGCTGGGGTTCAGCAGATCAATACTGTTACAAGGAAACAGAACCCATTGCCAAAGAAGGATACAGGGGAACTGGTACAGATCCAGAGATAATGCGAATAGCCAAAGAAATGATCAGTAAGCTGGAGTCAAGAGGTTTGAAGATGGAATATCTTGATATGAGACAATTGTCGGAGTATCGAAAAGATGGTCATCCATCCATCTACAGAAAACCTTGGAATCCACTGACAAAGGAGCAATTAGCAGACCCAAAGAGCTACGCAGACTGCATACATTGGTGTCTTCCAGGAGTTCCTGATGTTTGGAATGAGATTTTGTACACCTATATTATGCACTACTGATGGGTGCATAAATTTATGCTATTCATATGTAATTCCAGCCATATAGAGCTTGATAGTTAATCTGGAAAGGACTAAAGTAGAAAATAAACTTGATAGTTGATATGACATCTAGAAAGTTGTTTGTAGATGGCTTCTAATACCATAGACTTTGTTGTCAACTTGTCTAGCTACTTGAAACTTTCTTTTCTCTTTTTTCACCCTGGTGTTTGATACCACTGTCCCGATTAATCCACATTCGAACAAGGTAGATGTCTTTTTATGAGGTAAATCTCACAAGTAGTATTATAATCAATGTTGCATATCCATATTAGGATTTGAAACTGTTCTTAATATTTTTCCATAGTAGACAAGAGTCAATGGCATTATTCAGAACCAAATAAACAATGTATAGTGAATATTAAAACATCTGACAGATCAGAAGATGCAGACGATTATACTAGTTTTTTCTTTTCCTGTTCAAACGAACCAACCAAACATGTGATTGTTCTCTTGGGGAAAGGATAATATAAGCAAAACCAAATCCAAGATGCCAACTCTAAAGTTTTTGTGCCTTCATTGTTGAAGCAAAGATTGTGTTAAATCTTTCCAAGGAAGGCAAATGGCAGGGTACGCTCCAGTTGATGGAGCCGGGAAGATCAAATATAAATCACATTCTATTGTGATCTTCCTGTTTGCAGCTTTGGCCATTGCTGGTCTGTACCATTTCTCAGGAGATGGCAAAGTAACAACACTGCAAGATCAGATCAAACACACCAATTACTCTGCTGAAAGATGCGATTTGTCTTCGGGCAAATGGGTGTACGACGACAAGTCTTACCCGTTGTACAACGAAAAACACTGTTTCGCCTTCTACCAAAGTGATATGGCTTGTCAAACATTCGGCAGAAAGGACTCAAAGTATTTGCACTGGAGGTGGCAACCTCATGGCTGCGAGCTCCCGAGGTCTGTTAATCTATCTGTTTGATTCATAACAGTTCTTTACATCACTCGGGTCTTTCTTTTTCATTACTTCTTTAACCCAGTTTCTGTTCATTTGTTGAAGGTTCAATGCTACAGCATTCCTGGAGAAGCTAAGGAGAAAGAGGCTGGTTTTTGTTGGAGATTCACTCAATAGAAATCAGTTTTCATCCTTGGTTTGTCTGCTTGAGTCTTCAATTCCGCCATCCTTCAAATCAATCAGCTCTAATGGTTCATTTGCCACATTTCAAGCCTTTGTAATGCTACTCCTTCTAATACTTCTCCGCATATTTGTTCTTCATTTGAAATAGTGGATTAGTTGGGACTTTTAGGCTGGCTGGACTGGAAATGTTGAAGTTTAGTTGAACTGCTTAATCTAACCATTTGATTCACTTTTGGCTTTAGTTTACGGAGTTGGTTTCCTTGCATTCATGAACTAATTAACTTCAACATGCTGGATCTAAATGAAGGAATACAATGCCAGAATCGAGTTTTACTGGGCACCAATGCTTGTGGAATCTAATTTTGATGATCCGAAGGACCATCGAGTTGGTATTCGAAAACAGATTGCCCGAATCACGTCGATTGAGAAACATGCTGTGCTCTGGACAGATGCAGACATTCTCGTATTCAATTCCTTCCTGTGGTGGATTCAACCTGACATTACTCTTCTGTAAGTTCCAACTTGCAATATCTTTTCATTAGGCTCAAGAAGAAACTACTACAGAAATGATGATCTTGTGGATCATTGTTCAGGTGGGGATCATTTAACAGCTCTGACGGATTCTACAAAAAGGTAGACTCGAACATGGGGCGGCGCCCCTACCAGATGGCTTTACAGACATTGTCAGATTGGCTAGAGCTAAATGTCAACAGGACAAAGACAAAGCTCTACTTCATGAGTTTGTCACCTTTTCATCTTCTGTAAGATAAACCATCCCGCACTGCTTTTTTGAACATTTAAACTCTAACCTTCTCTATGGATCTTCATAGCTATGATGCAAACATGTTGTAGAAACCGAGACTGGGGATCGACAGCAGATCAATTCTGTTACAACGAGACGGAACCTGTCATGGAAGAAGGATATAGGGGAAGCGGTACAGACCCTGAGATAATACGCATTGCCAAAGAAGTGATCAGTAAGCTGGAGTCAAGAGGGTTGAAGATGGAATACCTAGATATCACGCAATTATCTGACTACCGGAAAGATGGTCATCCATCCATCTACAGAAAACCATGGAATCCTTTGACAAAAGACCAATTAGCAGACCCAAAGAGTTATGCAGATTGTATACACTGGTGTCTCCCAGGAATTCCTGACGTTTGGAATGAAATTTTGTACACTTATATCATGCATTACTGATGGACGCTAGCAGAATTAAAATAGGTTTATTTTTTTCATATGTCATTGCAGCCATAATGTAAGGTGCATATCTGGTTGAAATGCAAATTGTTAAATATATTTTGGTTCTGAAAACGTAAACTTTTCATTAGTCAGAACCAATTGTCCAAAAACAGCTACACTACGTCCTAGTTAACATATAGTTTTCGATAAACTTGCAGCATATGAAAATGCAGGACAAATATGACCAAGGTCATTAATCTATACACCTCAAGCCATTGCAATAACTTGATGGTAGCATTACGGCTACACCTATGGCTCCCTGAATGCAACCTAATAAAACTGAAAGATCTTTTCAAATTAAATACCTAGACTATGTCACTAGCAATAACCATATTTTTTCTTCACCTCTACATCCGGAAGTCAATGATGCAGACGCTGTTGTTCGCATAACCAGCAGCAATTTTGTCGCCTTTATTGTTCCAACAGACCTCAAAGATGCCCCCATTGCCGGTGTATTTTCTGACAATCTTTGCGTCCTTCACAGACCATATATTGACGCATTTATCCAAGGACCCACTAGCTAGATACTGGCCATCAGGGCTAAATGCAACAGAATATACAGCATCCCTGTGATCATACAAGCATTACTTTTGTTAGCATTTGCACAGCGAGTTTCATCCTTAAAATTGACAGAGACCAAACAGGCTAGTACGATGTGCAAGTTAAAGCTTTTTGTTCAAATTTTCAGGAACTTCACTGGATGAGTAATGATCTTCCCATAATAATGTGTTTGAGATAAACAGTTCTTTCCAAGAGTTGTACTAAATATAGTAACATAGAATGCAGAAAATAAGTACCCGTGTCCGATCAAGTTTTTGACAGAACGCCCAACTTCCACATCCCATATCTTTATTGTTGAGTCAAAGGAAGCACTACATAGAGAAAAAGAAAATAAGAGATTGACATAGAAACTAAAATGAAGTGAAAATGCAGCAGGCAAAATAAATTCACGATAAAATAGAAAGTAACACGAAAGCAGGGTTCCCCATACAAAAAGCTAAACTAAGAGAGAGAACCTGAACTTTCTACACCAAAGGAGAGGCACACGACGATTGACCAAGAAGAGAATTCTAAAACTAAAGATGCGGTAATATAGTAGTTCCGTTTAATAGTAACTTGCACTGGCATATTATGATAATGAATGGATTAAACTTGCTATCCCAAATACATTATCTAACCTGGCCAACATCAATGGTTGGTTGGGATTGTTTGTACCCGGTCCTGCAGGGCTCCATCTGACAGTGTAGATCTCCTGCAATTACAACATTGAAGAATCAGCAACTCATCTTGATGGATGCGAAAGCCTGGATAAGTATTAAACTGTTAAACATACTTTGGTATGCTCCCTTAAATCATGCAGCCAGGTGTCATGTTTCGTGCTCCAGATCTGCAACATGACCAATATGAGTGGGATAAAATAGTTGCATTAAAGATGATTCGAACACAGAACATAACTTGGAACTCAAAACAATCATAAGAGCTCATCAAAATCACACAAACGAACAGATTAAATGACTAACAACGATTGCTACACTCCTAGCAGAAATATGCTCAAGCTTAGATCATTAACTTTCTTAAAGAGAGAATAATCAAATTTAAAAAGATATAGTGAGGAAGAAAAAATTAATGATTACCTTGGCAGTAAAATCATCAGAGCATGAGGCTAATAGTGTACCTGTGGGATCCCATTTAATTGCATTTACTTCACCCTGAAAAACCCGCACGAAAGCCAGCTTTAGGAATCATATGAAAAGCTGGATTAACACCCTCAGTAAAAAGCTCAACTCTAATTCGTACCTGATGCCCGGAGAAAGTTTTGACTGGTCGGTTCTCCCCGACTTTACAGACATATATCATGGTATCAGTAGAGCATGTTGCAAATGAAACATTACTTCGCCAATCAACATCAAGTGTAGGGGCTGACAAAAAAGTTGATTTACATCTCGTCACGGCAAGGCAAAAAATAACCATTTACGGCAGTTGTTAGACTCTGGTAATTTATTCAAGATCTAGAGTAAGCACCTGAATGAAATTCAAATTGTTGCTTCCATTCGAAAGTCTTCACATCCCACACAATCGCAGTTTTATCCACACTACCACTAAGTAAATAATCACCTTTCTTGTTCCATTTCAAAGAGAAGATTGGCCCTTTATGCTTGTTTAAAGTACTTTTCAATTCCCCTGTATAAATTAAAAACGTTTAAACATACTAAATAATGTAAACACCAAGAGGGACACTCGAAAGAAATCTGTAAAATAAATACACAGGCAACTTTCCCAACCGAGCTGTCTGGAAGGACTAATATCAGAAACATCAAATTTATTGAAGTAGTTGTATCTAGCACCATTGTCATCACAGTAGCCATCTTACCATCTCTACCCCAGATTCTTGCTTGCCCATCGTAAGAACCGGTGGCAAGTAATGTTCCTTCACTCTGAAAACACAGCATTGTGACAGAAAATGAGAAGCCAATAATCACCCAAAAAAAAAATGCATTTAAAATAGGCCATTGCAATAGGCTGGAACCTTGGAGGCTGAATTGCAACAATAAAGGGAAAAAGCAAAACATGGAAATTGCAGGACAAGAAAGTAGTCATTCAATTTATACAGCATGACAGAAAGCAAAAATAGTGCAAAAGTGTATCTCACATTCCAATCCAGCGTTGTGACATCCTTGCTTTTCTCATTTGTCCTAGCTTTCACATGCTTCAATACCAAGACGTTTGGAGGACCATTTTGCATGGAAGAGCTACTTGTTCGATCTCCTACCGACCAGATACAAGCAGTAGAATCTCCGGAACTACAAAGGTTATTGAGAATGACAAGAAATTCATTATCAATATGTATCTGACCCGAGTTCGTAAGACATATGCAATGGGATTTGACATATTTGCACGCGGATGAGCACTTCACTTCATTGAAAAAGGAAAATAACTCTCCCATGCTACACATAAATATGGAAATCGCAAAACATTGTGTAAAGTTCATCACCCATCATATGTACATGTCTCGCGACTCAAGAAATGACAAAACAATCCAGGAACGAGAAGTCTATATGAAATGACGGACAAGAGAATTCCTTTCTAAGTAACTTCCTAATACCCACCCAGATGCAAGAAGTGAACCATCTGGACTCCATGCACAGGCAAAAACCTGACAAAAGCAACAAATTTGTAAATTAAAATTTCCCAAAATTTCCAATTGTTGCAACAGGCTAAATATCTTAAAAGCACAAAATGATCAGTCAAACCTCAGATGAATGACCCTGTAAAACCATAACATCAGAACTTGGGATTTCAAGAGGCAAGGATGCAGCACTTGTGCAAATGTCCATGGGTTCGGGTCCTGTTTTGCAAAGAAGCAATGACAATAATCATCCTAAGAAACTTCTAGCATTTTCTAGATGAAGTATAGAATATCCTTTGTAGTTGGTCTTATGTACCGTCGATTTGAAATGTAAAGTTTATCATATATCATAGACGAACTATGCAAATCACCTTCATGATGCCCATTTTTATCATGCCTGGAGCCTATCTTATCTCCATCCAGTTTCTTCTCCGCAGAAGCCTGATGTATCTTCTCTTTGTCTTTGGCCTTATCTCTTTCTCTGTCCTTATCTGTTTTCTCCCTTCCTTGAACTACCTCCCTTTGTCGTCTCTCCTTTTCTTTTCCTTTCAAAGGCACATTCTCATGTCCACGGTCATTTTCAATATTTTTACTCTTTCCCCTAGCCTTATCTCTTTGAAGATTTTCTCTCTTTTCTTTAATCATCTTTTGCAGCTCATCTGCGTCCTTCGTAATAAGATCTAAAGGTTTTATAAATTGAAAATCTCCACCCACATCTAGATCAACCTGAAGATTTCTATAACAATCAACTCAGGAAGAGGTCCAAATACAAATTATATGAGATCAAGGAACAAGTTTGCTTACGCTACTTATGTTTGCTTCTATTTCTAGGAACTGAATTCCTTTTTGCACGAAGGTAATAAGAGCTCCAGGTGGAACCATATTGCCATTAATATCGCTTTTGTCTATTCCTGCTTCACATCCCAATGCAAAAGCGGAATGTGTAAAACCTGGGAATATTGACACGAATAAAATAAATCTTGTTTCGTTCAACTGAAATCAATAAGGGACAAGATGCTCTTTTCAAGGAATTGAACAATATTCAGACATGTCTTGGCCACCATTAAATTGTTACCATCCCAATAATACCAAGATAGACCAATTAATAGATTATGAAATACAGTCACATACACGAACATAGTGGCGCATGGACACAAAAAGACTGCTAATAATACTGAATCTTGAGTACATGACTCCTCAGAAAACTAGGTATACTAAAACTAGGTTCAACTTAGACGTCTCAAAGGAGAATTAAGTGTAATAATACTAATACCTATACATGAGCCTTTTCTATATAAGTAGTTTTGGAACATGCTCGAACAAATAACGTTCAGCAATCAAATACTGATGAGGCAATATGATGAAGAATCATCATATCATATTCTCGAAACAAGAAATAAAAGGAAAGGACAAGACAAAATCGAAACATGAGTTTGTGTAAAGAAACCATATGAAACTAAGATACTGCAGAGGGTGAAAATTCTTTTCTTCTCTTTTCTAGAGTCTCAAAACCCTGGAACTAGGACGGTGCCAAACTTTATTTTCTACAAAATAACAAGAATCACATCAACAACAACTGATTCTTTATCCCACACAAATCAGCCATATATAGACCTAATAATCTGTATGCAAGTAATCTCATCCAGGTTTGCATAAATCCCTCCCCAATCCTTTACCTCCTCCAACTCCCTTCTTTGTCTGAGATAATCATCCAACATTTTTTTTACACACTTTAGTAAAGCATTAAAGGGTCCCTCTAAGTGAAAGATCAAACAACCTTAAACGTGTTTTCCACTTCTCCTCATATGCTACGCTTCTTTCTTCTCATGCATTAACTTTATCAGCAACAAAAAGGTTTTTCCTCAACAAGATGCAAAGCATTAAACCAAGAAGTAACCGTCGATTGACTGATTAGGCTTAAAACTAGATTACATAAGTACATGATACAAACTAAAGAAAAGGGGGGGAAAAAAATCATCCGCCGCTTTGTTTTACGAATTCAGAAAGGGTTCAGAATTTGCCGCAGCTATAAACACAAAGGCGATAGAAATTTGAGCAAAATTCAATATCACATAAATACTTCAGAAGTAGCAGAGTTCAGTGAAGTGGGGGAAGAAAAATTACAGGGAGGAAAACAAAACCTGATTCGTGAAAATAACGGAAAATGAGGTAATTCAACTCGGTCGAAGACAGGGTTAACATTTTCTCCGGTCGGAGGTGGCGGAGCCGTCGGAGCTCTTCTTCCGCTAGGGCGCTGTGTACTATGTGAGTGTGTGTTTAGTGTTCCCGCAGACCGGCGGTTATGTCTCGCACGGTGGAGAATACGGAATGACCATAATACCCTCGGGTGAGTAATTCAGCTCAGCAACTGCAGCTGAATCAGATTTTCAGGTGTATCCATAGTGGGGTCCTCCTCGGCTAATTAATTTCAATTGATTTCTTTTTACTCACCATATTATTATTATTATTATTATTATTATTATTATTATTATTATTATTATTATTATTATTGTAGTATTAGTTTTGTAGAGGATACGTTTCCAATTTTCCATGTACTAAACAAATGAATTAAAACTCCATTTGTCACATAGAAAATACTAGTAATTCTCTTTAGGATGGAGGTTTTTATATATTTCTTATATTATAGCAATTTGCTCAAGTCGGTCATTTATTAATCTTTATGCGACTCTTGTATTATGGGCTGTTTTGACATTAGAATTTGCATGCTTTGGAAATTAAATAAATTATTAAAAATAATAAATAATTTAAATTCATTAAATGACCATATTGTAATTGAACTAATACATGGCCGGAAATCCTGAAACAGAGAAAGATGACCATATTCTTAGTAAGCTATTGATATCTGAAATCCAAGTTAGTAGTATTAGTTTAATCACCATTTATTTTCATTTCTAAAAATTAGGCAACTAAAGAGTAATTTAGTATATTTTGTTTCTCCTTTTTGTGGTAAACATATATTGGTCTGAAGGTATTTCATAGTGGGCTTAGATTGATTTTATTATTTGATTAATACTCCAAACTTATTTCATTAATACTCCAAACTTAAAATAGAAAAGTGTAACACAGGCAGTGCTTTTTTTTTTTGTCTTCGCTTGTGTGTGTGTGTGTGGTTTTTCTTGGTTTTGTTTTGTGCGTGTGTGTGTGTGTGTTTTTTTTTTTGCAACCGGAGGCAAGATCTTAAAACTGAACACATTCTAATTATGCGTGTAAGAATTAAGAAAGACTAGTTACATCAAATATACAGTTTTTGAAATTTGAAAATATCTCAGATCCGCCTATGTAAGTGAAAAACATATAATCTGTCACATAACTTGATTCTCTCTAGACATGTTTCAACCTCACTTGTGATATCTACTACTCCCTTCATTTTTCAATATATGTTGTTTTAAGGTTTAGAAAATTTTAAAATATATATCGTTCTATAAAATCGAAGTAACTTTCATATTATTTTTTTAATATTACCCTTACATTGAAAATGAAAATAATATTTAAAAGAGATTGTATTGGTTAGTGATGAGTTGTATGGCTTATAAATAAGGATAATTTTGTATTTTAAATACATGATTTAATATTCTATTGGTATTGATAAAATTACTAAAAAGACATATTTTAAAATAGAGGAAGTAATATCTCGAAATGAACCGCACCATAAGCATCGTAATTGTTTTTTTCTTTTCGAAAGAAAAATGAGAAGCCATTTTTGTTTTTTACAAGACTTTACTGTAATTAACTCGGCTTGTCTGGAAACTTTGTTTGACTATTTCGTTCTATTATGTGTCCAAACTCACAAGTTTCCAACACGGAATCTCACTCCATTGATGGGTAAAATCGCAGAGTCCCCATTAAAAAGTTCTCCAAGAAAACGTTACAAAGCCCAGTGGACAAAGTTCAGATAATTTTTTTGGATCAATTGTCTAATTTCTCACTGGAGTCGTCTTTTGGTCAGGAAATCAGAAAATCCATTAGCTTATGTTCTTTGTTCTAAAGATTATTCTTTCGGTATTTAGTTTGAGAACGAGCCAAGTCAATTAGAGTGATAATTTTAAAGTAAATTTATTCAACTGAAAATTCAATACATAGTATATTTCGTTGTGAATTTGTTAATATTAATATAATACATTAAAAATACAAACGGGTTCGCACAACGTATGAGTGACTATAACCAAACTAGTTACGAGGAAAAGACATAAACGAGTAGCACAATGTAATCATTCGGAAGGATTCCCTTCATTCATAAATAAATGTCATTAGAGGAAAAACCAAATATTCCAAAATAGATATCGTTTTTACAAATCGAAACATGTTTTATCAATTTTTTTTTTTCAATTCTACTCTTAAATTAGAAATTGTAATAATCTTTAATGTAGAATTGCCAAAGTGTGGAATCAAACCATCCAAGGATGTCAGTGGACGGTGGGAAACAGAAAGACAATTCGTTTTTGGCTGGATAAATGGCTGCATGGTAGTGAGTCCTTGGCAGAATTAATTGGCTATCTCTGAGATTCCACCGCATGAACTCTCGTGGTCTTTGGACCGCTTTTGTTGATGATATGGGCAATTGGAGGTGGAAGCTTTTCAGCCATATGCTCCCAGCGATGCAATTATTGCGTATTGCTGCGATTCTCCCTCCTGTAGATGATGCCGGTAATGATATACTTTATTGGGGGCACTAAGAGAATGGTAAGTTCACTACTAAATCTGCTTACTCATCGATTGTGAATCAGTCGACTGTGGAGAATGGTCGTATATGGCGTATTATCTGGCATTGGTTTTGCCCGCAACGTTTGAGAATGTTTTTATGGCTTGTGGCAAAAGGTGGATTACTCACAAATGCTGAAAGATTTCGCAGACGCATGAGTGATAACCCTACTTGTGGTTTATGTGGAGTTGCTACCGAAACAACACTACATGCACTCCGAGACTGTTCGTTTGTGTGTTCAGTTTGGAACAGATTGGTTCCTTGAAGGTGTCGTTCGGCTTTCTCCTCATTGGGATCGTATTTTTGGAATTGCTCTGTGGCGTCTTTGGCTTGCGAGAAATGCTAAGCTTTTTCAAAATACAGACTTAAATGTAGTGCGAATTCTGAAATAGGTTGAATCATATGGGAGGAGTATTGAAACAGCGGACATGATGGTGAAAAATCTAGGGGATTCTTGATCCGTTAGAGAAACAATTATGATTCGTTGGGAGTCTCCGCCGTCCGGTTGGATAAAAGTCAATACAGATGGGGCTTTTGATTGCTTTTCAGGGTTAGCTTCAGCCGGGGGATTGCTGAGGGATCATGTCGGGAAATGGTTGCGAGGATATTTGTGATGAACATTGATTTTGCTTCTATCACCGGAGCGGAGTTATTGGGCCTTTTTCAAGGCCTACAGTTAGCATAGTATTCAGGTTATCGCCAGGTTATGGTGGAGGTAGATAACCAGAGTGTGGTAGTAATGGCTCTGAGTAAAGATGAGCCGACATGCTTACATCGAGGGTTGATTATGGGAATTCGGGAATTGCTTCGGAGGGATTGGCGAGTTGAATTACGACATTGGTTTTGGGAGGCTAATTTTTCAGCGGATTTTATGGCATTCTTAGCTGCTACTTGTCCGGGAGGCTTGCAGTGGCTCGACGATCCACCACCTAGTGTTCTATAATGGTTGGAGCACGATTTCATCCGAGTTTCTTATCCACGGAATGTTTTAATTTAAATTTAGGCTTTTTGCCTCCACTTTTTGTACCAAAAAAAAAGAAAAAAGAAAAAAAGAATTGTATTAAAACTATAAATGTTATTGAGACTAAAATTGTATTAAGAGTAAATGAAGTTATTATAGTATTATAACAAGATAATTATTGTCTCCTTAAATTTTGTGAAACTTTCCAGCGATATCTATTTGTGAACGGAGGATGTATAAATAAACGCATAAACCATGATCGTTATGTCTCTTTTTTCCTCTCATTCTATCATAAAGCTTTTCATCAATTCCAGAATAACATCATGTTTTTTTGAAAAAAAATAATTTGTCAAATCAGTTGTAATTTTTTTATTTTGGATAATTACTCTTCAGTAAAACAAATAAGACGTCTAGTTTTTCAAACCATGGGTTCATTCAAAGTAAAGGCCGTTACCAAAACAGTTAACAGTATTACTAACATAATTTACGTCGATTCAATCCCCAGAGGGCAAAACAAACAAAAGCCAAAACCCCACCACAGACATTTCGATGCTCCCGGCCACGTCCGCCCCCCGACCCGGACCGTTTTATTAATTTGTTCGCCCGATGCATCGTAATCTCCTCCCCTATAAATACCCCTCGTTATTAATCATTTCAATATTCAAAGTAAAACTCACAACCAATAGAATTTCCACACACAAAACAAAAGTTGATCAAACTAAATCATGATGAGTACTAAAGTAGTGGTACTTTCCAGGTTTAACTTATCCCTGTTTTCCGACAACCCCAGCAAACAGAGACATAACAATTCTCAACTTTCTTCTTCTAGAAGGCAACTGCAAGTTCCGGCGAAGGTTTCAGAGCAAGAGCCGCGGCTGAATTTTGTCCGCCGGCGGAGTCGAAGGAGAGCTTTTACGAAATGCTTGGGATTCCGGATTCGGGTTCGAGGTCGGAAATCAAACAAGCGTACAAGCAATTAGCCCGGAAGTACCACCCGGACGTGTCACCGTCGGGCTGTACGAAGGAATACACCCAAAGGTTTATTATGGTGAAGGAAGCTTACGACACACTTTCGGATCCCCAAACCCGAGCTATGTATGATGATGATTTAGCTCGGGGTGGTTTGCCATCAAACTTTTCAACTAAACCAAGAAGATATGACAAGGTATAATGCTCAACATTACCATATTGATGCAAGGTCAACTGGACAATCTCATGCACCGTAGCATGCACAAACAATCTTCTTCTGCTAGTCGGACCAAAAGTACGTCGTCCCGGGGAAAACCCACCTGGGGAAAGAGAACTAACATTTTTGACCTTGGATTTTAATTAATTAAAGAAAATTACTCTCTATATTCCATAGAAATAATCCACATTACACACACAAAAAAGAAATAGAGTTTATAATTACGAAATGCGATTATTTTTATAAGATTGAAAGAGTAATATATAGATAAACCTTTCTGTCATGGAAATATAGTTCCATTTGACATATGTAAATGTATATTATATATATATATATATATATATATATATATATATATATATATATATACTAGTGATGTCTGCTCGTGCAATGCGCGACCCTGGCCTAATATATCTGTAGATCTTAGAAATATTTGTATTTGAAAAAAAAATATTTTGCATTGGCCCGATATATTTTAGAAATGTTTGAAGAATTTAGAAATATTTTATAAGTG